TTTCAATCTACGTAAAATCTGGATGCGCCGCAAGAGGGAAGAGACCTCTCGGAGGAAAGTTAACGGCGGGGAATTTCCCCGGGGAAAGATTAGGGAAGAGGGAACGTTTCGCGCGAGCAACTTTTCAGCCGGGGCGACCGACGCGACGGGCCCATTCGCCACACGGGCGCGTTAATATAACGCGCGACGGACGGGCGCAATGGGTGCGCCCCGTCATGCCCCGAAGGTGCCAAGCCCACGTTTCCGCGGTTCGCGTCTTCCATCTTCGTCCTCCACGGCTGCCCTGCGCTGCGCCCTTTTCGTCCCTCTCATCGCCCGGCCGAGCGAGCCAAGGCTGAACCCCCTCGCGAGGAGGGATTTCCCCTTCGATCCGATCGCCGCTCGCGTCGCTTGCGCAATCGGCCAGCGTGACATATTTTATTGCCCGGCGACTCTCTGTCCGTTGCATAATCGATCACCGGCGTCACGCTCCGCGCAGATTCGACGAATTATTCCAAGACCCGTGCCCTTGCATCTGGGTTTTGTAACAAGCGCGACTTTTCTGCAGAGATTTCTAGCTATATGTATATTTTTTTGTATATGATTAAATATTGAAATGGCAACAATATTCATTTAATGTAATAATGTAATTCTAGACAGAACAGGAAACACTCAATTGTGCTGAAATCAATTTCCAATAGCGCGGTTTGATTTATAATTTACTATTGTCGATTTCGACCGCTTAAAGCGAGCGCGTTGTGCAGTATTTTTCACGTAGTTCGAACGACTGCTCTAAATATCTAATGCGTCGCTTGCTCGCGTTACGATAAAGGAACAATTTCCGTTCGTACAAGCTCGCTCAACAAACGGGGATTGCTATTTCCGGTGGCGCATTGTTCGATCGAGGCTGCGACTGGGACTTCGCGACGTAAATCGAAAGCCGTTCCATCGGCCGTAATATCGGCGACATAAATGTCAGAGCGACAAAAGACCATCGCGAAGAAATTGTTATGGTAATCGTAATTTCGTCGACAGTCAACTTCGACAAATGCGTCGCTCAATATTGTCGCCGTCAGAAAGCTCATATAGACAACAATAATGCAATAACAGTCTGAATACGGACAATCATATGTGTCATTATTTAAAAAATATATAAGGGAAGAACACAGCTCTCTTTGTGATCGAATTTCGTCGTAATAAAATTTGAAGCGTACTCATGATATGACACTTGAACTTTATTAACTGGCAGCGTCGATGGCACTTATGACTCTCGTGCATCCTCTATTTAAAGAATCGGATGACCCTCGAAAAGCGAACGTAATGACGCATCACTAATTGCACCGCCTCGTCCGTCGCGGCAAGAACGGCCCATAAATGGCTATCGAATTTTCAGTCGGCAAGAAGCGCACTAGTCGCGAACTGATGTTAAAGACGAGTTGAATTGAGAGAAACTTGAATCATTACCGGTTCGTGAAACTCGCAATTTATTGAGCTATGCGATTACGAATTGCTTAAAATCTCAGTCGAGGATTACATTAGTCGATATACATTGGTTAAACGGCATTTACTCGTCCTTAAAATTTTACGAGAATGCCATTATAACATTAAAATTTATAATAGACGCGTGCTTTTTCTCCCCGATACGTTAAATCGCGTTGTTTTCCATTCGCAAATCTCTTCCGAATCGGATTTAGTCGCTACCTACCGTTCCGCGTTTCGACACCGAACACGCTCGAGCTCTCGTCCGGCGCCCAGGGGAAGTCCGAGTTTTCCTCGGTCTTTACGAGATTATCGAATTCCATCCCCCCGGCCTCGCGACCTTCGCCCTCGAATCTCAATCCTTCGTTCCATTCGACAGATGTTCCCGAGCGCTCCACCTCGTCCTTGAAGCGGACGGTTTTGTTCTCGCGCGCGGGCGACACCTGTTCGCCGTGTCGGCTCTTCAGAATCGGCGCCCTAACGAACAGATCGAGCATCGTGCGCTCGATCTTCAGGTGCTCCTCCACGATGCGGTCCAGGGTGTCCGCGTATCCGGATGTCCATCTCCCGCGCTCGTGCGAGTCGTTATATTCGCGGCTCGGACTCCGGAGCCGGCCGTTGGGACTTCCCAGATCCTGATATCCATTCGTTTCCCCGGGTCCCGCGGGAATCGCCACTGTGTTCATCCGCCTGAAATCAAGGCTGTTCAACTTGTTCTCGAAGTTCTGCCGGGTCTCCGTGTTACGGAAGCACGGCGGCGGGTCGATGAGGAACTTCAGCGCTTCCAGGTGCTCGTAATATTCACGCTCGAGCTCCCCGGCCCTTCTTCCGGCGACGTTGACTTCCTCCCGCCGTCCGGCGTCGTTGCCTTTCGACGTTACCACGCTTTTCACGGGGATCTTCCTCTTCCTCTTCAGGTGGACACCATTAACCGTCCTGGGAATTCCCACGCCCCTCGATCTGACCTCATCGTCGCCGGCGAGCAGCTTCCTCGGCTTCGCACGGGTCTCGTACTTGCTCCTAGTCCTCGCGAGTCCTCGTCGTTTCCACGAAGCGCCGAAACTACGTATCGCGGTCAGAAATCGGACGTTGGGTCGCGACGGGGTGATTTTCTGCGCGAGTTCGGAGCGACGATGAGGAGGATAACGCTGACGGCGTGTGGGTGGTCGTTTTGTCATCACCAGCGGATCCGTCGTCTCGCAACTGCGTTGTCGCGACGAATGCCGTTGATTCAGCGTCGTCAGACACTGAATACAATCGAAAAGCTTCATCTTGGAAGATCATTAATTTTTCAATTTGCCACCTTTATCGCCACCACAATCGTGCTTCATTAATTATATCATCGAGCGCTCACGCTGAATTTACTTTCATCGCGTGATTTGTCACAACGAGTTCACCCAGCCCGCCCTTTCTTTCCTCATTACGCAATCGCGTGCAGATTCATTAAACAGCGATTCGCGACCATTGTACCGTCGGATAATACGCGCATTGTTGACGATCGTGTCATTCACAGGCATCCCCCGCCGTTGTATGCGTTTCCTGATTGAACACTCATCGGCCTTTATATTAGCTTGAGCATTCACTAAATTGTCGGCCAAATTCGATGGAAAAAGATTTTACACGAGAAATTACGTTACAAAGTGGAGGATCGGGGGATCGATCGCACAATTATTAACGGCCTCGTTGCGTTTCAAATTATTAATTTCGCCGCACCGAAAAAAAAAAATTACATGACTCAGATCTGCAAATTTTTACTACATATTCACATTTCACTTGTCCATCAGTGATTCCTTTCAGAAAATCAGGCGATCGATCCCCGATCCTCGATTGCGAGTGAAAAAATCCCCGCGATTCCGACGCTGCTTTCTCGAGTAAAGCGACTTGGAAATCCGATTGCACGGTGCGGCGCGCTCAGGACAAGGTGTTCCCCGATACTGAGCGGGAGAAGGTGGGTCCGCAGGCGGCGGCCCCGGTGAAGAAAGAAGAAGAAGAGAAGAAGAGGGTCGCCTCCTCGACGTTAGGGTCTTCCCGGAGAGCCAAGGGTGCGCCCGCAACGGAATTGCGGCGTGTCGCTGCGGTGTACAGGTGTATACGGTCGTGTACGTGAGAGCGTACGTGCGAGCTCGGAGGACAGGTGGGTCGCGCGTGTGCGTGAAGGCAACGCGCGCGCACTCACATACGGCGGCGTGGGTATATGCCCCTGTCTCTGGATGAGCACTGTACCGCGACGACGAGCGGGCAATTTGGAGAAAAGAGTCGGTAACATAATGGCCAGGGAGGAGGAGAGAGTGGGATGATCCGCGTATACATTTATGGTCCGCGTACACGTCATACATACGTTGCGCGCACTCATTAGGCCCGATTATTATCCAGCCATCCGATCCGCGGAGGATTGGAATAAGTCGCCAATTATCGGCGATTGATTGGACGAGACGAAAATCTGTAATAGTCTCCGGCTTTCGAAACCGATGTCTGATCTCGATACTCCGAGAGGTTTGTCTCAGCAAAAGACTTTCGTATTTGTAGTCGCGTATATACAAAAATATAAAGAGAAATAAACAGAAAATTGATCTAATTAGCAAAATTCATTTCCATTGCGCGTCAGTTAGATTTATAAAGAAATGCTTAAAAAGGATTCTTGTTTCTGTCTCGCACAACAGTTGCGAGACATTGATGAACGGCGACGCATAGAAAGCCGGCAGGGATTAATTCGACCAACCAAAACGTCACCGACGCTAACTTCGGCTTCTGCGGTTGTCGCGCATAAAGGAACCGGCCGCCATTGTTCACCGTTGAGATCATCGGAGATAATTAAACTACGCGCATTGTACGCTCAGTTAACTGGCAGGATTATTGTGCTCGATCAAACATCGCCGGTCATGCGTGGGTAATTTCTGGGTTCTCCGAACGTAACGCTCGATGCACGAGTGAGGAACGTTCGAGCGTCGGACGTAAGTTCCGGAATTTGTGAATTATTAAATGTGTGCATGACGCGCGCGCGTTACAATCGTCTTACGGTCCAACAACAACAACAACAACAACGTTCAACGCGTGGACATTTACGCAATTGCGATATCCGCGCGCGATCGCTCTATGAATTAGTTATGTTACTCACACGTGGAATTATTTCAATTACTCGCGCTGCAATTAACGATCGTATGTATCTCTCGCGTAAAGTCTAGTCCGTGTTAAAAATTAATTGAAAAATGATGGTTTACTCGACATTTGATACTGCACGAGATTAATCGGGAATCGATATTGAGCGCGGCGGCTTATTGCTCAAACAGACCCGCGATTAAATTGGAAAGCGCTCGTAAATTCGACATTATGTAATTTAATTAATTATGAGCCGACGTTTATCCATCAAAAGTTTCTGTCAAACAGCGGCTTGTCAATTGTTAATTATCGATGCGCACCTGTATCGAGCGATCTCCCTTGTCAACCGCGTTTATTTTTACAAGAAAATACAATTTTTAATTATGATAAGAGCCAGAGTTCTATCACTAAAATTGATGTTTGCGTAAAGAAACGGAGGGACTTACTGGTAACGTTCTTATCCGCCTCCGTCCGTGTGCGCGTTGTAGTTGTGGTCCTTGTGGTGATCTCTGCGGCACACAAATGACAGAATTACGATTACTTCCCGCGTTTCATAGGCGAGCGAGGAACCGATCGATAGGTTTTCGCGGCAAATACCTACTATTCTGAATTTCGGTGGTGGTGTTCTCCTGCAGACTGCTCCTGTAGATCCTCCTCTTCGGCGAGCCGATATTTTCTCTGCGGCAAACAAAAAATCAAAGAATAAAAATAAAATTTTTGATCGAAGTACATTAGAACAATTAAACTCCAACGTTTTGTTATTACAAAAAGATCTCGCGATATATCGATCACTTACTGATTAAGACCGAGTTTTAACTGCTCCCCAGAATTACGTAGCAGAGCGTGCGCCTCGCTGTTGGTCAGATCTCGAGTGCTCCTTCCGTTAATGTTACTGATCAGATCACCCTCTCTCACCCCCTGTTGAGCCGCCTTGCTTCCCGGATTCACCTGAAGCGATAAAAAAAATGCGTACGGTCAAAAAATTTGTCGACGTTACATCTGAGAGTTATTGGAACGAAATCAACGCGAGTGAACGTGATTTAATTGCGAATCGCCGGGCGAGTTATCAAACCAGAGAGATGATTGAGAGCCACTGTCCTTCGTTGCGCCTAGAGGCAGGCAACTTCCCAGACGTCGACACGCGACGTTGCCTGAAAGCGGCCGTACAGGCGTAAGCGACGACAAATTATCGTCACGGTGGATCGAAACGCGATAAAATATAGTTGTCGTTCAGAAATATATATAGAAATCGATATATTTTGTGAATGAAAAAATGCCGCAGAATATAATCGAGATATAATCCCCGGGCATGTGAATTTAAATTACTATATACATTTATGATTATTAAATTTTTTTATGGCAAGAACATTCGCTTATATTTGTCAAGAAAGTGGCGGATGTAAAAACCCCCCCAAAAAATTTGTGTCGTGGATAGACGAGGTTTTCCGTTGACGTTGCAGCGACAAAATTGAACGAAGGATTCATACAAAAACTCTTAAGATAAAATCTGGAAAAATTAACTTTCTACCGGCGACGTCTCTCCGCGCGTCGAGTTGAGATTTAAGTCAAAAACGCTTAAGATTCTCACCGTGCCGTCGCACTTCCGTTGGCCGGATGCGACTCGGAACTTCAACATCCCGAGGCCGAGGAGCTCTCTAGCTCGATACCCCCGCAGTTGACAAAACGTTAAACGCGGAACGTGAAAGTAGCCAGTTCAAGAGAAGGCTCGTGTCCCGATCTCGCTCCTTTGTCACCGCAGAAACTTTTATCGCCGAACGTTTGTGAGCTTTGAAACGTTCAACGTTTTTCTTTTAGTTCTTCTCTTAGTCCGCCTTACGAAACAAACGGCGCGTGTGCGCCGTTCGTTCACTTACTTTGTAATCTGCTTTTGCTTTTATATACATCTATTGGAAAATTTTCAAAGCTACATGCGGAAATCCCTCCTATCATATTAATCAAAGCATTCCACGTTCTAAAATCGTTTTCCTTTGATTCGTCCGAACTCTGACCGCGCAACACAAAATTCATCGCGGCGAGTTACATGTGTAAGGTTAAATAAAAATGCGAATTGCGCAAAACTCGATATCGCGATAGCGAGATCAAGCGAATGGATTTCGCGAAATAGGAACTATATACTCGCGGAACGAGACGATTCGCCAGAGTAGGTATCTCTCGGTCGCGAGACGAAGACTAGAATAGCCGACTAGAAGGGTATAGAGAATGGTGTGCACAACGCGACGGAGGCGAAAGAGGTACTGACGCTCGTCCTCCTGATTCCGGGGATGCACGTCGTCGGGCCGCCGTCACACCGGCGCCAGACTTTTCGGCTGCAGCGGAACAACAGGGGAAGTTTTCCGGCTGACCTTCCCCGTGATGCTGTTTGGATTTCGGGTGGGGGCGAAGGGACAAACGAGAGGTAGCTGTAACAACGAGATATACGGCGACCCGGTTTCCCGAAACGGAGCACTCGATTTTGTTTACGCAACGTAAACTTGGCTTTCGGCCAGACCGCATTGTTTCTCGCGTTAACTTGATTAGAAATTTACGCATCAATTACGCCGCACGCGTTCTCTTCTTTCCAATTTTCGACGGCGAAAATTATTACGAGCAACAACCGGGGGGGAAGAGTGGCCGAAGATAATTTCGCTTAAGTGGCATTAATAAAATGAGACAGACGAGATAAACTGTCGTGCGCGCGCTTTCGATATTCAGAAGACTATATTGCGCGAGCGACGGGAGACAGAAAGCCAAATTATCGACTCGGCGAGCGGGCGAGCGGCCGCGAAAAATACGCTCGATGTGAAACGGGCGGACGAGCGTTGAACTACGAGACAGAATTCCACGTTTCACGCTTCGCGCGTAAGTCTTTCAAACTTTTAACTATGCGAGACGCACGACTTTCCAGGGTGCATCGACAAAACTTGGGACACTCTGCTTCATTACCAACTCTAACGCGAGTCACTTCCGCGGACTGAAGAACTTTTCGAGATGTTTTGCGACAACGTATCGTTTCTCTCTAGGCTCCGCGCGTTAATAGATTCCGCGTGCAAATAAACAAACTTTTAATGGACAGTTATTCATCTGTTTAGAATTAATTCGACGACTCTTCAACGCACAAATTTGAAGGCACTGATTTCGATGTAACTTTTTGATATAATAGCCGCGATAACTCGATCTTCTATTTAATCTATTGCGATCGCGGGATTTTTGAGATACTCGTTTTACGCTCAAGTGCCACACCGGAGGTTCCCGTCCGATTTTAACGACCCTTTAAACGTCGTACGGCGAGCCAAGGGAGGCGCCGCAAAAGCGGATTGGCGAAAACGACGAAGAAAATTGCTTTCGGGCAACGCGGGATAATAGCATCCGGAGGCGAAAACGCGGCGATGGGAAAGCGAGGGAAAAATCGGACAAGATGATGCGGGAGGACCGGTCGAGAGGATCATCGTGACCGACTCCGCGGGGTATCGGCTTGGATAATAAGCGATCGCAGGTTTGCCGAAACCCGCCCGCCGGGTGTTCGCACACTTTGCTGAAACGCTCGTACAACATTCGTTCCACGATCGCGCGAATAATGCCGGACGCGCCGTTTTCAGGGGTCAGTTCTGTCACAAGGGATTCGGGATGACTAGTGAATGAAACGAATGTTAGGATGAATGAGAAGAAGATCCTGTTTAGAAGATTAAGAAAAAATTTTTAACTTTTCCGACACTTTAAGTTTGTCGATCTTTATTTTTTGCAACTCGAGAAAAATGAGAAGGAAGGGGCGTAAGTTATTTCCTATTGACTGTCCAAGTTCGAAATTGGTTTTTCCACGCTAAGAGCAATTTTCGCATTCGCCAGGCGCCTAGCGGTAACTCTTATCGAGACTCGAAAATCTGTCGGAGGTGTTTCGCATTTGATTACGTAACGTTGTATCGGGCGCTTCCGAGGCGATTTATATCTCTCTCGCGCGAGGATACGCGCGCGGCAATCATACGACGCGGCAGACCGAAAAATTGAATATTCCCGAGCGCGCTCGATGCTCTCGAACGGTGAAACCGATTCCGCATTTTTTTCCCCCGGGTATTTCCCCGATCCGTTACGCTGTCGTCTTTGCGTAATTGTGAGAACAAATCGACCTAACGGTGACGAAAACCACACTGGCACTTCCATCCATCGATTCCGCGTTGCGACACCCGTTCTTTAAATATACGCGCCCCTTCTCACAATTTTTTTCTGATACATTTTAACATTAATCAAACTGCATCTCGACACAAATTTATCCGCATCTAAAGAAAGTGTTACGAGAGACAAATGATTTTTTCTCCGCTCCTGCTTTCCGTGGACCGTTTACTGAAGGAAGGATACAGGGAACAACGACCTCGCGCCAGCTTTAATTGACGAAACCAATTCGTGCGCCATTATACATGATTATCGCGCAATAAGGCGGCCCGTTACGCACAAAAGACACATCGTCGAAACCGAGAAATTACCGTTCGACGAGGATCGTTAGCGGTCTCCTCCATTCCAGGTACCGTAGCGCTGGGTTTCCGCTGTCGATATACGAACAAGACGGCGGAAACCTCACGTGAGGCCAATCGCACGCGTAACGATCGGTTACGAGAAACGGGCACACGACAAAGCGCGGGGTATGCATAATGCACTCTCGGGCGACGAGTAGCGAACTTCCCGGTGCTCTTCGCGGAGAAAAACTTGCCAGATATAAGTTACGAGGCAACTCGGGAGAAGAGGATCCCCGGGGCGGGATGGAAATGGGAAATTGCAAAATGCCGGGTGTCGGGTTGCCCGCGCGAGGTTATACGCATTTATCACGAAATAAAATTTTTCCTTAGCACCATCACGTACGACGGCACACTTCCCAAGGCTCGGCTCCGCGAATGTGACGCATGGCTGTATAAATTCCACGGGGGAGAAGTTCCCAATCCAGCTCCGGAGTTTCCGAATTCGAATGGCTAAATCGTCCTCACTTGATATACGGACGAAGTAATTATGAAGTAAGAGAGAGAGAGAGAGAGATTGAATTGAGCCACACATGTATGAAATGTATATGTTTCACGGACAGTTTAACGCGGAAACTTTTGTATGCGACTCCGCCTGGCACGTCGACCGTATTTACGCGGAAAAGAAGAGATAGACTCTCTACCCGCACGAATTGCGTATGCAGAAGAAACACGTAACAAGTCGAAGGGATTTCCAAGTAGTCGACACTTTCGTGCCGACGTGAGCTGAATGCGTCTCGCTGTGTCCCGCTCTAAGAAAACGCACGTCGGATCTTTCAATATCTCGCTACGAAATCTGTTTCCGCGAAGCTAGGCTATATATCGCGAAGTGAAATGTGGCCGCTCGAGACAGACACTAAATTGTAATTTAGCTGTTGATCGCGGTCACGCCGCCCCGGCGATAAATCTGGGAACACCCACCATGATACGTAGCATTCGTGCAAGATAACAGTAATTTATAAATGATATTACACACAAACACACACACATACACATGTATATATAAATATATAAATATAATATGTATATTGCAAGATATATACATATATATATATATATATATATATATATATATATAAATCCATAATTTATTGATTTCAGTAATACCCATCTCGATTTTGGTCACGACTCAGCACTTAATTATCTCCAAAAGTGCTTTTGTAGTGAGCAGCGAAATAGTTAGAATTTCGTAATTAAATAAAAGTGTCGTAATACATGAATTTCACATTAATTCATAATCCAATCTTCGCGCTTTCGCGAATATCAGAGCAGCGGAAATTTCTCCTCGCGTTTCAGTACGGCTCGCTTTAGTCGTATTAATTGCGGCAAGACAAAATTTTTTAACCAAGAGAAAAAAACCGTTTGTATATTAATTATTACACAATTTTTGAGTAAGGTGCATCTATATATGGAGCTACGGAAGGAAAACTGCGTGCAAGTAAATTA